CCCACGCCCCCCCCTCCCCCCCCCCCTTGGCTGACTCACCCCCCCCCCCCCCCACACGCTCCCACGCCCCCCCCCCCCCCCCCCCCCCCCCCCCCCCCCCCCCCTCCCCCCCCCCCTCCCCCCCCCCCCCCCCCCCTCCGCCCGCGCGCCCATGATTGTAACTTCCACCACACCGGCCCCCCAGCCTCTTCTAGATCCCGCCCCCTCCGAGGGGGAGCTCACCTCTTCGGTCGGATCCTGCTCGGAGGGCGCCCTCTCGGGGGAGGAGGATGATGAGGATGACAATGACGATGGGGCTCTCTTCCCCACTGGGTGGGATGGTCTGCCGGCAGACGAGCACCAGCGCTCGCTTGGGCGCCTGCTCCTGCTGGCCGATGACTATTTGGCCGCGGATCCGACTCTGTCGCAGGCCCCGGCCTCCTTCTGGGACGACCTGGCCCGCACCGTGTCCAGGGGTGTTGTGCCTGCTGGCAAGGCCGCTGCCGCTGCCGCTGCCCCGGCCCAGACTCTCGCCGGCCCCGGAGAGCTTCCCTCTGCCAAGGCCCCCGATGGTGCAACGCCAACGGGCGCCTCCAAGAACTTGTGCGCCCTGTTTCGTTTCATGCCCCAGCCCCTTTTGCCATCCTTCTGACGATTATGGTGTCTACACAGCCCCGATTGGGTGACAAGCGCCTTGGCCACGATGGCCCCCGGGGTACTGGACATTGGCGCCCACCTGACTACGTGCGCCGCTACTCTATCTTTCACCGGCCCGCTTGGCCGGCGCACCCGGCCGATGTGTGAGCATCACGGGCGCAGGCTTTCTGACATGCACGCACACGCACACGCACACGCACACGCACAGGCAGTCACCAGGTGCCTTTGTGCGCGCCGTCTGCGGCGGAAGAAAAGCACCCTGTGTGCTGGCGCGGCGCGCATGAGAAAAAGAAGAAAAAAGAGCAGACAAGCGCGGAGGGGGGGGGGGGGGGGGGCCGGCATCTGACACGCGGTGGATCACTTTTCGGGGTTCGGTTTCTGAGGAAGAGGGGGGTAAAAAAATGGTCGTG